CTCGCAGGAGGTGGGTTGCGCCTTAAAGGATAGGGGGCGGGGTCGCCGCTGGCGGAAGGCGGGGCCCGCTCCCCATTGGCCGGGCCGGGACGGGCCCGAGGGAGACCCGCCTCCCTCTCGAATGAAGGGGTCATTTGGCCGCGGAGCCTGGTCCTCACTCCACCACCTCCGGACCTGGCGGGCGGGAGAAACCTTGTCCCGCCCCGTCTGGAGTCACGAGCCCGGCACTCCAGGCGGGTCTGCCACTTCTTTGCCATATGACCCTGGGCAGGTCCCTGTTTTTCGTATAAAAAGCAAATTAATTTGAGTGAGACGGAGCCCCAAACCCAGATGCCTGTGACACACCAGACAGGTGACATAAATTCCAGGAGCAGATTCCAGAGCCTGTGGAGACCTGGAGAGGCCGGGGAGGAGGGAAGTAGGGGCTGGTGTAAGGACTCAGCCCTCATGACCTGCTCCAGCCTGCCAGAGCTTCGGATTTTTTCAAGAGAAACTGGAAATCAGGATTTTTTTTCTTTTTTAGGTGAAATCTCTCAATGTGCTGTTGTTGGTAGCTTATCTCAGTTTCAGAAACTCCTGGGCAAACCCCACAGAGCCATTCCAAGGGTCTCTTAGATACAAACTAATGCAAAATCTAAGTTCTAGGGTCCTTTTAAACATGATGGCTTTTAAGGCTGTGAGCATCCCTTGACCACCTTCCCCATGTTTTAAGGGGAAGTGACCATCTGCCCAAGGCCTCACAAGTGCGACTAGTTCCAAGGCCAGAATGTAGCGGGGGTGGGGGGGTGGTGGTGGTGCTGGGATGGGGTTGGAAATTGGGCCTCACTGTCAGTGGGTGGGGCTTGCATGCAGCTGACAGTGGCCCTTGATGGGGCAGAGGATTGGTGCCAGGGATTGGACTAGTCCAGAAAAATTCCCTGCCTTGGAGGATTCCAGGAAAAGGCTCTGTCCTCCTCCCCCTCCATGTTTGTGGTCAGAGGCATGCTTCAGAGCCTTTGGGACCTAGCTCAGCTCCCGACTTCCAGAGGGCTCTGGGATACCCGCCTCCTCTTCCAGCCCAGGATGTAGCCAGGGCCTTTGCTTGGGCCAGCTTGAGTCTGGGGGGACCTGAGGGTCTACACCAGTGGAATCGGGTTGCGTGGTCTTTGGAGGACTTGATCACCTCTAAAAGACAGGATGGCCTCTGTGTCCGGTTGCTAAATGAGCTAAGCAGGGTCCTGCTGCAACACTTACCTCCTAGACTTCCCCTCTCAGCAAATAGCCTCTTTAGGGCCTCTCCCCCACAGAGCTCCTTTCCAGGATAGGCAGGGGTCCGTACCCCACACCTACACCCCTTGCTTTTTTTAGTCTTTGTGGATATGGGTCATGGCTTCTGCTTCTGGGCCAGAGTTGGCCCTTGGGTGTGTTTCATTTGGCCTGTATGGGACTTTTTAAAACTTTGATGCCATTGCCAACATTAAAAATCTGGTGGTTTCACGTTAAAATGGGACTTACCAGCTTGCCTTGAACAGGAACTCTCTGCTGGGGCTGAGTGGCAGCCTTCTGCCCTCTGACCAAACCTCAGGCTCACAGGTCACCCCAGTCTCCACCATTCCCAGTCGTCACACCAGTCTACTTCACTCACTCAGTTTCCTGAAGCATTTGAGTTTGTAGTCAGTACCATATGGCTCTGGTCGGATGGTCCCTATGCCTTTGCCCTTGGGCCTTTTGATCCCTAAGACACTCAGGAGTGTCTACAGATGCTGTGGGAGGGAGGAGGACCTTCAGCCTGACTCTCCCCAAAGAATAGGTTTTCCTGACAGGCCCTGAAGTTTCTCACCTCTATAGCTAGTTCTCAATGATGGATAGACCCCCACCTGCCAAAATGGTCCATCATCTGCCCAATCTTGCACCCTGGACTCTCATAGGCCATGTTGTCATCTGCCCAGAGGTTACAGGGCAGCTTCCAGGAGATCCCTTCCCCAGTTTGTCCATCCATTCCTCATAATGCTTTAAGTCACCACCTTCCTTAGAACCTGGTTACCTGGAACCCTCTGTGAGAAGAGAGAGCTAAGGAATGTGAGTCAGGGTTTGGTTCAGGGGTGGTCTCCACTGCCTAGTGTGGGTGACAGAGACAGATCCTGGACTGCTTTGGACCAGTGGCAATGCCAGGATGTCTAGATTGATGGGCTAGCAGGGGGAGTCAGAAGAGGCCTCATGAAGCTGTTTTTCCTAGCAGACATACCCTGGTACTTCCTCTGCTAATTGCAGGAAGATTGGGAGAGCTGATGGGATTATCAGGGGCTGACACTTCCCTCACGTGACTAACTGTACCATCATCATCCTGAAGCTTCTGGGACCTGGGCTTGTGGCTAGGGGCAGATCAGGGCTCTAAACCTTCTGTGACTTTGGGTCTGGGGCAGACCCCTGGACCTAGGTCAGAGCCCTTCCCAGTGGCAGGCCCAGATGTTAGCCATCCCTATGTGCCATGGCAGCAGGAGAGGTGCCTGTTCCAGCTCTTACTACCTCTGGCCCTTGTCAGGCTGGGGCTCGGTTCTGCATTCCAGACCCAGACCTAGCTTGACTCTATAAAGCCTAGAGTCAGACCTGTGCTAGCTGTTGGCCACCCCTTGGGGCTGGGTGCCATGACCCCATTTCCTGGCCCGTGTCATGGTGGGCAGGTGCTCCCGCCTGGCAGAGCTACCTAGATGGCTCTGCCTGAGGCAAGGAAGACTGGCCTGACCTGTCAGGGGAGCCAGCCCTGCCCTCTATGACTTCCTGCCCCGCACCCCTAGCACCTGAGTCAGTGGGCCGGCCAGCTAGGGCTGATGGGGCGGGGGTGCAGGGAGGCCAGGTCAGTCCTCTTAAGGAGGTTGGTTTAGAGCACAAGTGAGCCATCGATACTGTGGTGGAACCCTCAGCCACAAACCCCAGTTCTCACCAAGGCAGTGGTTGGGCTACAAGAGTTCCCCGACCCCAGCTGCCTTCAGACTCTGCCCTGAGCCCATCACCTCTTGTTTCCTCCCACCCATCTCCACATGATGATCTCTCCTCAGCACACATCTGATCCTGTCCCTTTTCACTTAAGATGTACCATCAGCTTTTCATTGCTTGTCTGATGGAAGGAGGCAGAACTCCCCTGTGATGCACCAGATCCTGTCCTGTCTTGCTTCTACCCTCCGCATCACGAGCCTTAGCCCTCACCCTCACTGCCCAGGGCACCAGCCCTATTGTCCTCCTTGTTCCGCAAACTGACCATGCACCCACCTGTGACAGGCCCTTTGCACATGCTGCTCTTTCCACTTGGAACTCTCTCCCTGGGCGTGGTTGATTCCTCCTTAACCTTTGAGTCATAGGGAATATCTCCTCCCCTGTGGCCAGCCACAGTCAGTCCGCTCTGCTCCTGCTGTGTGTCCTCAGAGAACTTTTCCTCCAAATGTTTATCTGTGGGACTGTGTTCACCTCTCATACCAGGTTGGGAGCTCCTTGAGGTCAGATCCAATAGGATCTGCTGCACTCACCTCCAGTCACAACTGCAGGGAAGTCAAGGGCCAGGCACAGACCATATTGCTGAAGGAATGAATAATTGAGAATGAATGACTGAATGAGTGAAAGCCCTGTTAGAGCCTCCAGAGGGACCTATGTCTGGCCCCTCTGGAACCAGCGCCTGTGTGGGGGGCACCCCGGCCACACACCCAGTTTGTCCTTCCCATCTGCTTCCTCCCCCGAGGCAGGCAATGGTCAGACCAGGTCAAGGAAGGCAGTTCTGAGCCCAGCTCATCCTGCTGGGCCTAAGGTAATTAGAGGCTGTGTTATTCACAGGTGACCAGCCCAAGGCCTTCCAGGAAGCTGTGGAGACACCTAGGACTCCACCCAGCTTTCCAGCCCACTCTGTGGCTCTCAGCAGGGTGGGAGGAAGTGGGCAGCAGGCAGGCTTTGGGGAGCTAGCCAGGAGGGGTAGACAGGCAGGGGAGGAAGGGGCTGGGCCCTCGTTGCATGGGTGAAGGATAGAAGCAGCTGCCACAGCTGGGTGATCTCTGACCACTGGAACCACAGTGAGGACGGGGATTCTGTGTGGGGATGAGTGTCAGGGTAGGGGTCCAAGCCTATGGGTTCCCAGGATGAGGCCAAGACCAGGAGCAAGAAACAAAAAGATGAAAGCACCTGTCATAGTTCTTCTGGGCCCCGTCCCCCTGTGATCCTGGGCTGGAAGGCAGCGCTTACAGGGCTGGGAGCTGCGAAGGGGCCTCCATAGGGCCTGGGGAGGAGTGTCATAAACTCCGGGCAGCAACAGGCCATAGGCCAAGATGAGATAGATAGGCAAAGAGCAGCAGGGGCACTAGAGGCCTTTAGCCTACCCTCCATGTTCCCAGCCGCTGACCCTCCCCAGGCCTTGCCTTGGGCATGGGGGCCTGAAAACAGGGAGGCGGAGAAGCTGCGCAGCAAAGGAGGCCCCGCTCTGGCCCCTGGCTCAGGCTTGGGCACAGGGCCTCAAGGCAGGTGTCAAGTGGGTCTGAGTCTCTAAGATGTCATCAAGTATCCAGGAACCTAGGTGGCTGAGGAGGTGGCCCTCAAACCTTAGTGGAGACCTGGAGCGCCCACTCAAGTGCTTGGGTGGAATAGCTCCAGCACCCCCACACCTTGCCCAGTAATGCTGGCCTGATGTCTAGGCTGGCCAAGGTGGGACCAGGGACAGATTGTATGTGAAGTCTGCCTGGGGTGGAGATTGGGGCTGAGGTGCACAGAGGGGGTGGCTCTCCTGTGCCCAGGGCTCGGCATAAGTCCTGAGTGAAGCAAGTGGGCAGAGACAGAGGACCTGGGGAAAGAAAGGCTGGAATGTGGGGACATACTTGGCATGTTGCTGGCACAGGGAGAAGAGGCAGAGGGTCCTGGGGGATCAGGCTAGATGCAGCTAGAGGAGGACACATCGCTCCCGGCCACTGTGGGGCTCGGCCTCCTATCTGGGGTTGTAAGGTTCACAGACCTCTTGCTTCCCCTCACTCATGGGTGGCTGGCCCCACCTGCCAACCAGTTTTCTCTCCCCCAGGTCTCTAATGCCCCTGCTGGACCCAGACTCCAGGCTCCTGGTCCTGGCGGGAAAGGTGAGTGAGAAGCTGGAGTCCCCACCCATGTCCACCCATGTCGGCCCCCAGGGATGGTGATTCACTTGCCAGGCCTGGCCCTGACCTTTGACCTAAGCAGCCAGCTGAGAGAGTGAGGAATGCAGGATGCTCTTTCCTCAGAAAGCAGGAACTAGAACAGTGCTGCCCAGGTCCACGACTGCCGGGCTGAATGGCCTCCTGTCAGGGGCTCTGCATGTCCGGGCCTCCAAGTCTTCATCCAGGAACATCAGCTTCATTTGGACACGCTGAGGATAGAGCAGTGTAAGCACACGGCAGGCACTCTGTAGACACTGCAGGTATACCCTCAATGCTCACGCCATATACACTCATGATGAACAGGTGAGGTAAAGTGTACCGAGGGCTCAGCTCAATGCCCTGCACATGTTAGTGCCATCAATGTCTGCCATGCTTCTGTGGCTCAGGTCCTTGGAAGGGAGCAGGAGAGCTGGTGCTGGACCTGGGGCTGCCCCAGGCCACCAGGATGTGGTCAGCAAGGGTGCTCAGGCTGGGCTCCTTTCAGGGCGAGAGTCAGCTGTACTGCTATGAGGTGGTCCCCCAGCAGCAAGCACTGAGCCCAGGTAAGCCCTGTCCTCCCCACTCCTATCTCCTTCCCTCCTCCCTGTCCTCTCCCTCCCCTCCCTTCTCCCTACCCACCCTGATTCTCCTCCCCTGGTGTCCCCAATAGTGACCCAGTGCCTCCTGGAGAGTGTGCTGCGGGGGTCCGCCCTTGTGCCCCGGAGGGCGCTGGCTGTCATGGGCTGCGAGGTGTTCCGAGTCCTTCAGCTGAGTGACACAGCCATTGTGCCCATCAGCTTTCATGTACCACGAAAGGTGAGAGTAGCCTGGGTGAGGGGCTGGGAGGGCCTGGGGGATTCACACCTCACCAGCTTCATGTCTTTCTGTCACTAGGCTGTGGAATTCCACGAGGACCTGTTCCCGGACACTGCAGGCTGTGTGCCTGCGTCTGAACCCCATGCCTGGTGGGCTGGGAGTAACCAGCAGGTAGAGCCAAGACCTGGCTGGCCACCCCCAGCCTCCACCAGCCCCCACAAGCTCTCCTGGCAGCAGCCTCATCTATGGCCCCACAGTCCATCTATGCACTAACTCAGCTGCCCTGAGTCCCCCATCTCTACTCACTCCTCAACTTCTGCCTCTCCCCACAGGTGCAGAGGGTCAGCCTCAACCCAGCCTATTGGCCCCACCCCAGCTTCACTTCTTGCCTGGTGCCCCCTGCAGAGCCCTCCTCTGACTCAGCCCAGCCTGTGGAGCCACCCGTGGTTGACGAGGACCCCAGTGTGAGTGCCAGGGCTGCCTGATTCTCAACGCCACAATGGGAGCCCCGATGGTCTTTTTAAGCTTTCTAACTTTCAAGCATACCAAAGAAATGTATGACGCATAAATAACCTCAGTGTTCTCTAAATTGCACAAAACTTAGTAGAAAGTGAGTCTTTCACATAAAATCTAGATTTCTAGCTTCTCGTGAAATACTGGTGGATCTTAACCACCCTGGGCCTGCCCTCTCACAAATGCTGGGATCTAGCATCTGCCACCTGCTGTCCCCATGGTCTAAAATTCACCTCACTCCCATGTTGCCCACAGCTCTTGTCAGCATCTATGACGGCATCCCAGAACAGGGCTTCGTGCACAGCCAGTGTCCCATAGCCTGGGAGGAGGGGTCCAGAGTAATGATCCCGGTGTCCCCTCTCTTTGGCCAACTTGCCCAGGGGCCTGTGGCTAACCATGGGTGCTTCTCCCCAGGAGGGCTTCTCCTCCCCTCCCAGCTCGCTGATCTCACCCTCCACACCCTCCAGCCTGGGGCCCTCGCTCTCCAGCACCAGCGGCATCGGCACCAGCCCCAGCCAGAGGTCACTGCAGAGTCTGCTGGGTAAGTGCCTCAAAGTAGGAGCTAACCCTTCCAGCCCTACCCCAGCCATCCTCCTCTGTACCCTGGCCCTGCCTCTCTTCCTGGTGGAGTTACATGTCCTGTGGGATGAACTCAGTCTCTTCTGAAAGAGGGCAGCCTGAATGTGCCACGGAGCACTGGGCTTCCACCAAGATACTTCAGGTTTCATTCCCAGGCGCCAATCTGGGCAAATTGGCTTGGCTGGACCAGCAGAGGTGGAGGACTGGGCACATGCTCTGCACGACCCTACAGTGAGGGGAACAGGTGGCCAAGACTCAAAGCTGGCCTGGGGTCTTCCTGTGGGACAGTGCAGGGTGGGCAGGCATCTTCACATGACTTTTTGTCCCTGCCGCCCACCAGGCCCCAGTTCCAAGTTCCGTCATGCTCAGGGCACCGTCCTACACCGAGACAGTCACATCACCAACCTCAAGGGGCTCAGCCTCACCACGCCTGGTGAGAGTGACGGCTTCTGTGCCAACCGGCTGCGTGTGGCTGTGCCCCTGCTCAGCAGTGGTGGGCAGGTGGCTGTGCTTGAGGTGAGGTCCCCACCCCCATTACAGCTGTCCCCCGAGTCTGTGCAAGATGCAAAGGGCATTGGGTACCCACACCAGCCCACATTCTCTGAACACAAACCATGTGCCAGGCACCTGCCCAGTGTGCTCTTTAATCCTCCCAGCCACCTCACGTAGGGGTGCCACTCTTATCCCCATTTTACAGATGAGAGCGGTGAGGCACAGAGAAGTTTAGTGACCTGCTGGGTCACACAGCTGTGTAAGTGGTAGAGCTGGGAATTCAAACCCAAACTGCCCGAGTCCTAAGCCTGAGCTCTTTCCACCACTCCACGCTGCCCCCACCCCCTCACTTTCTGGGGCCTCACAGTTGGCACTTAGGGCTCAGAGCATGAGGTGGCTGAGGCAGAGAGCTTGGGCCACCCAGTGGTGGGGCATCAGCTGCAGAGGGAGGAGGCTGCTTACCCTGCAACCCTGCCTGTTACTGATGGGCTTTGGGGTGGGGACGCCTCCCACAGCTGCAGAAGCCTGGCCGCCTGCCTGACACAGTGCTGCCAACACTGCAGAATGGGACAGCCGTGACCGACCTTGCCTGGGACCCCTTTGACCCTCACCGCCTTGCTGTGGGTAAGAAGGCCTGGTGCTGGGCCTGAGGGCAGGTCCCGTGGTTCTGAATGGGAGCAGGAGGAGCCTGGGAGTCTTGGCCCAGCGGTGATGAGCCTGCACCCTCTGTAGGCTGTGAGGACGCCAGGATCCGACTGTGGCGGGTGCCTCCAGAGGGCCTGGAAGAGGTGCTTACCACACCCGAGGCTATTCTCACAGGTCAGGTGGACCCTGGTGGGGACCAGGGGTGGACAGTGGCTCCTGAAGGGCTTAGCATCACTCCATGCCTTGCCCCCAGGCCACACCGAGAAGATCTACTCTCTGCGCTTTCACCCGCTGGCAGCTGATCTGCTAGCCTCTTCTTCCTACGACCTTACCATTCGGATCTGGGACCTTCAGGCTGGAGTTGAGCGGCTGAGGCTGCAGGGCCACCGAGACCAGGTAGGACAGTAGTGGGGGCAGGTGCCCAGCCATAGGGCAAGAGGCTACCCCTCACTTCCCCACCTGCCCCCAGATTTTTGGCCTGGCCTGGAGTCCCAATGGGCAGCAGTTGGCCACTGTCTGCAAGGATGGACACTTGAGGGTCTATGAGCCCAGGAGTAGCCCTGAGCCCCTTCAGGTGAGCAAGATGGGCTAGGGCTAGCCCTCAGACCCAGTGGGGGGTCTGGGCAGGCCTCATGTGCTATATCCCAACAGGAAGGCCCAGGGCCCGAAGGAGCCCGTGGGGCCCGCATTGTCTGGGTGTGTGATGGTTACTGTCTGCTGGTTTCTGGCTTTGACAGGTGAGGACTCAGCAACCACCATCTCCATCCCCAGACTTTAGGAGCCACCTGTGTCCCTCTCCCCAGACACATACACAGGCATGCAGAAGCTGTCTCCATCCCTCACTTACTGGATGAATAGATAGATGGGGGAATGGATGGATGGATGGGCAAGCAGATGGGCAGATGGGTGGGAGGGAGGGAGGTCAGGAGGGAGAATAAGTCAACCGAGGGCCCAGAGGGATAAGAACTAGGCCTGCTGCAAGGAGCCCATGCCCAGTAGGGACCAGGTGAAGTGCACAAAACACAGAAGCAAGCCTACTGGTAAGATCCAGGGATTGAACATTTGGCACTTTGAAGGAGGGATCAGAGTGGGCCTTCTAATGGAGATGTCATCTGAACTGCGTCACAAAGGGGTTAGTAACCAGAGGGTGTCACGTTTGTGTGGAAAGTCCATGAAGCTGACCAGCCTGGCTAGAGCAGAGGGCCAGAAGTACACCATCAGGAGAAAAGTCCAGACTTAGTGGGCCACAGCAGCCATGTGACAGGTACTGGGGTCCAAGACTGCTCTGAGTATGGGCAGAGGGCAGCAGAGGGTGGCAGTAGCCTGGTAGGAAGGTTTGAGGCAGGGCAGCAGGTTAGGATGCTGTTGCATTACACCAGGCCAGTGGTTCTCAGGGCTGGACCAGAAAAAAGGATGGGTGGACACCTCTCCTCCAGCCCTGAGGCCCTCAGGTCTCCAGTCCAACAAAATCAGGCACCTTGCTAGAGTCCTTGCCCTACCCCAGACCCTTCTAGCTCTATGACCTATTTCTGCCTCCTGCTCCCTCTTGTAGCCGAAGTGAACGCCAACTACTTCTGTACTTGGCCAACACCCTGGCCAGTGGCCCCTTGGCAGTGCTGGGGCTGGACGTGGCTCCTTCTACCCTGCTGCCCAGCTACGACCCAGACACCGGCCTGGTGCTACTGACGGGCAAGGTAGGCTGGGCTGTGCAGGTGGGGGTGGCAGGCAGGTGAGAGGAGGTTGGAGGAAGGAAACTTTAGCTGGCCATCTCACTCTTGCCATCCACCCACCCCCGCCAGGGTGACACCCGTGTGTTCCTGTATGAGCTGCTCCCTGAGGCCCCTTTCTTCCTGGAGTGCAACAGCTTCACATCGCCGGACCCCCACAAGGTAAGCCCTCGTACTTTTGGTCCTCCTTCTCAAGTTGGGACCACAGGGTTCCTCTGCCCTCTCGTGGCCAAGTGGGGAAGTACAGGGGCCCATGGGGTCAATCGGTCACTGGGCAGGGTGTGCCCAGCAGCTCCTCAGAACTGATTGTAAAACTAAATCATTATTAAAAGTTAAATTATGTAAGGTTAAGTTATATGAATGTGTAAATAAATTATACTAAAAAGCAAAGCAATAAATACTCAATTTATTATTTCCTAATTATTTCCCCTGATTTTACTATCATTCATGCCACTGAAGATCTGTTGGATGGAAATACCACATGATGGCATGCTACTGCACGTCCCTTCCCACATATGCATGCAACAAGTCAGTGAAATCAGCCATAGTGGCAGTTTTCACACCACAAGCAAATACTACACATCAGGGCGTTTTTCCTCCAGAGAGCCAGGTGTGCCAGCACACTGCTGTCTAGGGATGGGCCTTAGTCCTGATGTACCTAAGTAACGGGTGCTGGTACTGTGGGGGCCCAGGTGCCCAGCTATGCTCTCTGGGCTCCAGCCCTAGCATGACTTCCTTTCTCCCTCAGGGCTTCATCCTCTTGCCCAAGACGGAGTGTGATGTGCTTGAAGTGGAGTTTGCCCGATGCCTACGGCTTCGCCAGACCTCTCTGGAGCCTGTCGCCTTCCGGCTGCCCCGAGTCAGGGTGAGGTTGGAAGCCCAGCACACCAACATCCAACCCGTCAGGGGCTTTGAAACCTCACTGAACCTGTCCCAAAGCCATCCATTTCCTTGCTCTGTGGAACACCTGTCCCCTTACTCTGCTGAGATTCTGAAATTCATGATAACTCTAGACTGGGGACTGGGTTTTGCCATGCCTCCCTCTCAACAGATGCCAGTGTGCCCTGGGCCTCTCTGGTGAGTGCCTCAGGGTAGCCCATTCTCCCTTCCTGCAGAAAGAATTCTTCCAGGATGATGTGTTTCCAGACACAGTTGTGAGCTGGGAGCCAGCGCTCAGTGCCAAGGCCTGGCTGGGTGGCGCTAATGGGCAGCTCCGGCTTCTCAGCCTGCAGCCCCCTGGCATGACCCCAGGTAGGACGATGGACTGGTAGGGGTAGGTAGGAAGCAGGAAGCAGGTAGGGGTTGGAGAAAGGGGCAGAAGGCCCAAGTCAGATTCTCATCCCTGCTGGCATATAGAAACCTCCGGCACTCCCAAGGAAAGGGGTGGCTGTGTCTCCAGGCTCAATCTCTGAGCCACTGGAGTGCAGAACCCAGGCCTCTGTTTCCATCACAAGTCCCAGCCCCAACACACACATGTATGCAGTCATGCACTCACATGCTCACACATGAAAGCAGCCTGGTATCCAGGGCAGGCCTTGTGAACAGAAGGTTGACTAGCTATTAATGCCACCTCTGGGGTCTCTGCCATAGAATTCCCTAGGTGGCTGGTTCCAAAGGGTTGGGCAAGGAGCCCTCAAGGAGGGGACTCTGATACCTGATGTTGTCCCTGCCCTATCCCAGTGAGCCAGGCCCCCCGTGAAGCCCCTGCCCGGCGGGCCCCATCCTCAGCGCTCTACCTGGAAGAGAAGTCAGACCAGCAAAAGAAGGAAGAGGTAGGTGTGGGAGAGGAGTGGCTTTAGGATGGGCATAGGGTCCCCTCAGTTGTTGTTGTCTTTCAGTTCTCTAGCATGACCCAGATTGGGGCAGGAGCCAGTGTCACACCCCTCTCAGTTGGAGAGCTTGATGGGGAGATCTTCCAGAGCCCCGAAGCTGACTGTTGCCACCCACAGGGCACAGGGCATGGGGCTCAGGAAGCCAGGGAAAGGCAGAGAGAGGCCCCACCCCGGCCTGGCCCAACCCAACCAGAGCTGGAGGTTTTGCATCCAAGTGCATTTGAGACCCTGGTGCACACCTTAGAATCTGAGGCAATATGTGGAGATAGCGGCCCTGTGACTCCAGTCTGTCCCAGGCTTCCCCATCTGTGTAGGCATGCCTTTTCCAATGAAAACGATTAACTTTGTCAGGATTCTAATGAAAATGGCTCTTTCAGAACCTTGACAGGATTCAAACTGGGGTTTGATGTTCTTGGGGGTCAAAGGTCCTAGTCCCTTCCCATCTCTCTTCCTGACTACTCTCCCAGCTGCTGAATGCCATGGTGGCAAAGCTGGGGAACCGGGAAGACCCACTCCCCCAGGACTCCTTCGAGGGTGTGGACGAGGACGAGTGGGTGAGTGGATGAGTGGGCCTAGCATCCCATCCCTCCCTGACTCACCCCTGCAGCATGTGCCACCTCCCTTCTTTACCTCCTTTCAAATCTCTCCCTCTTTTTGGTTTATCTCCCTAGGACTAGCCCACCCACTAGCCACCTCTGGCCTCACCTGCTGCTGCCACCTCCCAGAACCACCTGGTGCCCCTGCACATCTCATATCTTACCCTCAAACTGGAAAGCACTTGGCCCTGGCACACCTCATCCCAGAAGCCCTGGCTCCCTTTGGGCCTCGGGCATTTCCATGCCTAAGGGCACTTCCATGACACTTGTGGATTTTCTGCACTTCTACTTTCTCTGGGACCACCTGCTTCTCCTCAGCTGTCTGCTAGCATGTGGAGCCAGGGGCATGGGGGTGGGATGAGGGTGGGAGATCATTAGCATGTTCCTGGGCAGGCCCTGGGCTCCCTAAGCTGACCTGGGCTGGTCCCAACCTGGGCTGCCTTTGCATTACATACAACCTCATCTTGTCTGCTGACTCAAAGGCCTTGGGGGCTGGCCCTCTCCCAGGCCATTTGTAGCAGGACCAGCCTCAGGAGTCTGGGACCAGTCACCCTGCTCCACAGGCCTGAAGCCAGGAGAAGGTGGCATCACAAGCTGATGGTCCGATTAGCGGGGTGTGAGCCTTGCAGGGGACTGGCCTGCACATGCCTGGAATATTTTCAGCAATTAAACTTTTCTAAACTGGCTACCTCTTGTGCTGCTGTGGTCTCTAGAGTGGCTGGGAGGGGAGGGGGACAGGAGTATAGATGAGAGTGGTTTGGCCCTGGGTTCTGCTCGGTCCCAGGCCCCACTTTGTTTCTGAGGCCTTCTCAGCTGTATGCACCTGGGAATTCATTCATTCATCCAACACACAGGTATCCAGCAGTGCTCTGGATGGTAGATACTATAATGAACCAGAGAGACAAGGCCTCTCCAGGTCCTTATTATAGTTTTATTATGCAGGGCAGCCCAGCCCTTGTGCAAGTAAGCGAATACAGAGTGTGGAGAGAGCTATAAAAAAGATAAATTATGTGGAAGGGAGTGACTGGAATGCAGGGGGAAGCAGGGTGTTCAAGGTCTGAGAAGGTGACATTTAAGCCGAGAGCTAAGACCTGAAAGCCACAGAGAGAGACATGAGAATGTTTCAGACATAAGGAAGGACGGCCTGAGCGCTGAGGAAAGGGAGAATTTGGAGAGTTGGAGGAAAGAAAAGGGCAAAAGTCCAGAACGTAGCACAAGGCAGCCTGACTTTCATTCATTCAATAAACATTTGGTTAATGCCTTCCACGTGCCAGCCACTCTTCCAGGTGCGGACCTCCAAGAGTAAAGAAGAGAGAGAAAAGGAATCCACCAGGAATCTACATTCTAGTAGGGAACAGAGTAAAAACAATAAACAAAAATGCTAAACAATAAACATGAATGCTAATATAGTAGAAGGTAATAAGAGCTTTAGGGAGAAAAAATAGAGGGAGTTAATGAAGTTTTAAGCCAGACACAAAAGGCCACATATAGTATGATTCCATTTACACAAAACTTCCAAAAGAGACAAATCCATAGAGACAGAACATAGATAAGTAATCACCAAGGGGAGCAGGAAATGGGCGGTGACTGCTAATGGGTAGAGAGTTTTTTTGCGGGGGATGATGAAAATGCTCCGGAACTAGTGATGGTTGTACAACTCCATTAATATACTAAAAAGCCCTTAACTGTATGTACACTTTTAAATGGCAAAATGTATAGTATGTGAATTATATCTTAATAAAGCCATTATTTAAAAAACATTAAGAATGGAAGGCAAGTTGCAGCGTTGGTAGGGGTCAGGGTGGCCCTCATTGAGAAGGTGACATTTGAGCAGAGGGACTGATCCCTCCTTCCCAAGCTGAAAGAACCTGAAATGAAGCCTATTTTGAAGTTTTCTGTTTTCTTAAATATTTGTGAGAATTTTGCCTTTTACTCATTATATTTGTGAGGTGTTGTATGTTTACTGCATTTCTTTCAGTGCCACATATTCTGGCAAACTCAAGGGACGAAACTGCTCCATACCTGCCCGAAGTACTCTGGTGCTGCTAGCGCACCAGGTTAAGCGCAGGGACCAGAGACGGTTCTGGAACTGGCCATCAACCGCTCCCCACCACGCGTTGCCTTCTGATCCAGTGCCCGCGGCAGAACCCGCCCCTAGCTCCGCCCACGCTGTGTGCGTCGCCACAGACGCCCCGCCCCTTCGGGTCGAGGCTATGCGCATGCCTGGTGCAGCATTGCGCACGCGCTTTCCGCAGCTACTGTTGGCCTTTGACTCGCCGGCCGCCCTTGAGCCGGGCTGCGGGGCCCGGAACCCGGATTACTCCAGCCCTTCCCGCCGAGGCAGAGCGGCAGTTATGGTGAGGCCTAAGTCAGGGGCTATCGGGGATTGGGAGGCCGTTTCGGGGCTGGAGCGGCGAGTTCCGACCGGGCTCTGGGCGCCGCGTGTACCCTGGGTGCCCGGCAGGAAGCGAGGTCCGGGGCGTCGCACCCGGGGGACCTAGGCGGGCGCTGGCGGCCTCGGGGCCGGGAAGAGCCGACCGGCTGGAAGGCAGGGCAGGCCTGACCGACTGGAAAATACCCAGCAGATGCGGTCGTCGTCTTCGTCAGCCCCTGTGCGAGCAGCCTCAAGTGGAGTCTAGCCCGGTCCGCGAGCCCCTGCTCTGTCCCGGAGCTACTTGATGGTGTCGCCCTGTTATAGTCCTCATCTGAAAGCTGGAGAAACGAACTCCGAGACTTTCCTGAGGAGGTAGCAGAACTGACTGGGTCTTGAATCAGGCCCCGAGACACCAAAAACCGTTTTTGCGTTACCTTTGGCACGTAGAGCCGGTCCGCAAATCTGGACCACACTGGTTACGTCACGTCACCTGGGTACTCTTTAAAAATGCATGGTCCTTAGCTCTGTCCCCAGCGGTTCCGTATATATAAGTTCCCCAAGTGATCGACGTAGGGTTTAGGGAGTCACTTGACGGACAGTGATAGAGTAACATGAGTCCCTGAGCCGAGGCTTTATGTAGATTCTCATTTTATTCTTATGAAGTCTATGCTCTCACTGTCCCCATTTTACAGATAAGGAAACTGAAGCTGAGAGTTTGACTCCTCCAGTAACTCATCTCACAAGTGTCAGAGACGGGTTTTGAGCCCAGCTTCTGTGTTCTGAGACTCCACATTTCCCACCACATTATTCTTGTAACAATCACTGCCATTTGTTGAGGTCCTATGATGACCCCTCTCTGAACTGGGACCTTCACACACATTTCTATGTGTAACTCTGAGCTAGTCTCAAGGGCTGAGTAAAATATGGCTCTGGGGGAGTTTGTATCATAAAGGAGAAGGAAGACCAGTTCATAAATTAAGACAATATGATGATATATTAAGAAAAAGCGCTATGGGAAGGTAGAAATGGGAGGAACATGGGAGGGTTTCACTTGGGGGATGGGGATGACATGAGCTAAGCCTTGAAGGATGTTGGGTGTTGACAAGAATATCAGAATAGGAGAGAGGATATTCAAGGTTAATGGGTATGGAGATTTGGCGGGGGGGATGATGAAATGTTCTAGAACTAGTGGTGTTGGTTGCACTGAATTGTGCACTTTAGAAGAGTGGCTTGTATGTTGTGTGAATTCAGAGCTGTAGAGACTTTGGGTAAAAAAATAAGAGAATTGATCTATGAGGAGATGATGAAGAAAGCTGAGGGGAGAAGAAACCAGCAATGTCATTTGTAGTCATACAGAGCTGGAGAGTGGACTGAATTTGAAGGCAGTGGTGATGAAGAATTGTGTGCATTGTGTCAGGATGGCTAGAGTCCTCTTTCAGCAGAGGGAGCGGGAGGCATTTGGAAACCGTGTTTGGAGGTTTAGAGATTATAAGACTTCAGTTTGGCCAAAGCAGAGCTGATGGTGCCTTGGTTAAGTGTCACATTTATTCAAATATGTATCAGGCACCTGCTGCACCAGCCACAGACCAGCCCACGCATAGCATGGCAAATGCGACAGTTGTGGTCCTGACCTCCCTCCTGCCTAATTGTGATGCCAGCTGTTTGCAGGGGCCCTGTGTGAACACAGTCCCCTTCCTATCTTATTGTGTCCTTAAGGAGGTGAGTCTCAGTGGCTGTCTCTGTCCACCAAACCAAGCACCTGGAACTGTGCCTTAAAGGAAGCATTGCACATCGGTTTGTCTGAAAGCCAAGCTCCCTTCTTGATGCACTTGACGTGGCATTAACCACATTCCTGAGTGCTCCCTGACCCTTTCTTCCATGCTACCTGTGGTCCTTTACCCCAGCTACAAGACTTTGGTGCTGCGTTAGGCCATGATGCTCCCAGATGAGAGAGCATGTGTACCGTCCACAGTGGGTCCCAGGCTTGGAGTCCTGTGGCTGGGGAGCAGGTGCAAATATAGATGAAGCTTTGCTCTCTCGCCCACCCGCCGCCACTCACCTCCTATTGTGCAGCCTTATTCCTAACAGGCCAAAGACCAGTACTAGTCTGCCCTAGATCCCTGCTCTAGACCATGCAACACCAATTAGGATCTGGTCTAGAAGCAGAGGCAGCTGTTGAGCTGCTCTGGACCTGCCAGTGTCTGTTCCACTTAGTCTTATGTGGATTGCCTCCTGAGGCTTTACAGCCCTCCGGGAGGAGGCTGTTATTCTTATTTTGCAGATAAGAAAACTGAGGTTCAAAGAGGTTGAGTAATTTTTCCAGGATCACACAGCTAACAAGAAGCAAAGCTGGAATTCCAGGTTATGTCAGCCCAATTCTGAAGCAGTATTCTCGCTCCTTTTTCACATTGGTTCTGAACTCCCTGGGAATGTAGCCCAGCTTTTTGCAGACTTCTCCCCTGAGAAATCAGAGAATCTATCAAATGAGTAACTGTATTGGGAGAAGCTCTGTTACTCTCTAGTGCCTAGCAGTTGTCAAGTTTTGTGAAACAAAGAATAGTAATAAATGAAAACCAACATTTATTGAATACCTACTGTGTTATCAGGCCTTTTTGACACCAGGCACTTTACAAACATTACCTCATTTAATCTCTATGGCAGCACCATTGTCGGTGAGGACACTGAGGCTCAGGGAGGTTGAGAACTTGTCCAGGGCACACAGCTAGGATTTGCATACAGCTGATCCCAAAGTTCGCCTGTGTAACCACCATACCGCCTCCCCTGGGAGATGGCTAATGGTGGAACCTTGGTAACCTCAATTATCTGACCAGGCAGCTCCCTTGGGCGGCCTCTGAAACTTTGCCGGCTAGTCCAACCTTCCCTGCAGCCATGGAGCTCTGGCAGCTGCAACCATAGGGCCACCATGCCAATTTGGTTTGAAGCTTACTGGGGATGGTTGGGGGAGCTGCCCAGTTACAGCCTTGTTCTTAACATTTATTATATAGCAAGTCACCACCCTGAGCAGAGTAGTCAACCGGTGAGTACGGGGTTACACTCAGGTATTTGGCAGCAGAGGAAGGTGGGGTCTGAAGTCTGAAGGTGTGTGCCAGGCTGAGGGAACCCTGTCAGACTCTCAGACACGACCAACAGTCCATCTTGGAGCCTCCTCTCCCACTTGACAGTGACTTTAGGTTGGAGTGGGGGGTCAGGTGAAGCTTCCTAATCAGCAGTGTGTCCATTATTTGTCTTTACAGCTGCAGCCCTGCCCCTCCCTGTATACCCACATTTGTATCATTTCACACACACAGGGTCATTTTCACATGTGCTGGCTATCTGTTCACAGTAAGATCTGCACATTTGCCCATCTTGGCTGTCTTCCTGGTCTCTAACTACTTTACAAGTCCCCTAGGTTCTTAGGACATCTCATACTTTCTGCCAGTTTTGGCTCTCCCTTGCCCCTCTGCCTAGGAAACCCCAATATTCCCATCACAATTCTACCCACCCTTCAAAACCCAGCCTAGTGGAAATACCATCATCTCCCAGCATCTCCTCATTCCTGGGTTTCCCTCCGTTGTCACGCGTAATGAGGCTCCCCACATGCCTCTCTGGTGCACTGCACCACGCAGTCTTGGGATGGGAAACCACTGCGTGGCACTGCCTTGGAGGATCTCCCTGCCAGGCTGGGGGTGCCGAAGCTCCAAGGGCAGAGGCCAGGGCCGTGTGTCTTTGTAGTCCAAGTGGTATTGCCTCTCAGTGAGTGAGTGAGTGAGTGAGTGAGCGAGTAAGTAGAGGAACAGGTGACTAGTCCTGCTCTCATTCACCGCCTGGTCCTTGCCTTATTTGTCTAAATGCCCACCTTGCGGGCTTTCGCTCCTGAAAGGTGGACAGTGTTTTGCTCTTTTGTTGTTTTGAATGGAGCACACCTGAATATTGTTGGGAGAATTAGAACAGCTCTGAATTTCCCTACCAGTAGAATGAAGGTTGGACCAGCTGATTTCAGAAGCACAGGAAGTGCCCTGGTTTGCCTGGAGTGGCACCCTGAGTTAGTGGTAAGGCTGGAACCAGCCCCTGGTTCTGGCTCTCGAGCCATGGTGTTATTCCAGAGGCCAAGGGAGAGTCCTGTCTGCCTCTGGAGACTCAGGTTTACCCACTGACCTGCTATTCCATGAACACCTGGAGCCACACAAAGCAGCTTTTTTTCAGAGTACTTTGGAGGAGATGGCCAGTGGCTGCTACATTGTGCTTTATTACCTCAACTCTCTAGAGGCTTTACCACTCAGCAGCCATTTCCAGGGTCCCATCTCGGGGGGCCCTGAGAATGCAGCCTGCTAACCAGGTGCCTACTTTGCCCACAGGCCAAGTACCTGGCCCAGATCATTGTGATGGGGGCACAGGTGGTGGGCAGGGCCTTTGCTCGGGCCTTGCGGCAGGAGTTTGCAGGTAAGCTTGACCCTTATCTCCCCATGGGCGGGGAGTTCCTGCCCAGGTCAGATTTTCCCTGTACTATGGGCCAGTCAAGCAGGGCTAGTTGTGAATGCAAGGACTCTCTGTGGGCTGAGGTTCTGGCAGTTTGGGTGGCCTAGAGCACTTCCCATGGTGGGAGGGGCAGTGTTGGACTTTGGGGCATAAAAGGGAGTCCTGGTTGACATGAGCGTCCAGGCTGGAGTTGGCAGACTGGCCCACCTGGCCATCTGTTTTTGTAGATAAAATTTTTTTGGAACATAGCCACACTCTCTGGCTGCTTTCAAGTCAGAGTCCAGTAATTACAACACAGACTAATTGGCCTGCAGAACCTAAAATATTTACTTTCTGACCCTTTAAGGAAAAGTGTACTGGCTTCTGAATCTAGAGTCATTGAAAGAGAAGAGGTCATCCGAGGCAGCCTGCTTTGGTGGTCTAAGTAACCAGTGGACAGCCAGGTCTTGACAGAGCTGTTGCTGCCTCGCCCTGCCCACAGCTTCACTCTGCTCCCCTTAGTAGCCTGAAGCTCCCCCAACTTGCTATGAGCCTGGATGCGGGGAGTGGGAGAGAGAAGAGGGGCAGGGTCATCTTGTGGTCTAGGCTGAGGATGGCGCTACAGGTTTGGTGACCAGACCCTGCTCTCCAGTGGGGTAAATCTGTCCTCACTTCACTACCCCTCATTCCCTAACCCCCTAAAGAAACCACATCTGGAAAAGAGATGCTCTCTGGCCACCTTTGTCCCTATGTTTCTCTTCTCCCATGCCACCTGGCAGGTTGAGCCACCCACATGGAAGGCCTAGGGGAGCTCTCGGCTGCTGAGGGGTGAGCACTAATTTGCATGTCCACACAGCCAGCCGGGCAGCAGCTGACGCCCGGGGACGTGCTGGACACCAGTCTGCAGCTGCCTCCAATCTCTCTGGCCTCAGCCTGCAGGAGGCACAGCAAATTCTCAACATCTCCAAGCTGAGCCCCGAGGAGATCCAGAAGGTGAGGCCACCGGGTTGACTCTGAGGTAGGCAGACCAGAAGTGGGGCAGGAGACAGGCTGGCAGCATGGGGAAGAGTGAAGGCCTGGCAGGAGGGGGCAAGGGTAGAGGCTCTGACCATAGCCAGCTGGGACTCCAACTTGGGGGAGCCACTACCCCTTGCTAGTTTTTAGGCCCAAGGCAGGCAGTGGCAGGGGCATAGAACGATTGATGGTAGCCGCTGAGCCCCTCCCTCTGTGGGCACCTGTCCATCTTTCTACCCCTTAGCGTCACTTTTTAGGCATGCAGGCCACAGGGGTCGAGCCCTTTCGCTTTCCTTCTTTGTCATCCTCTAGCTTCCCCTGCCTCTGTAACCCAGAGACTGCATACCTCTCATCGTCTCCCCTCCTCTGCAGAACTACGAACACCTATTCAAGGTGAATGATAAATCCGTGGGTGGCTCCTTCTACCTGCAGTCAAAGGTGAGTGGTCTTTGATGATGCAGGGACAAGCCACTTTCTGGGCAGTTCAGAACTTGGCAGGTAGAAAGGTGTGCAGGCCTTTCCCTGGTGCCCCAACCTCAGGAGGCCTCCCCAAATTACCAGTTCCTCTGGCTGCCTCAACAGTCAGGCTGTGTCAGCATGGGCCCTGTGTCACCCTGGACAGGAGCCCTCCCTGCAGCCATGGCTTTGAGGGAACAGGACCACTCACTGGTAGATTGCTAAAAATAGCTCTCAGCTCCCAGATGTCAGTCCAAGTGTGCCCTGGGCTGTCTGCCGGGGGAGGAGGCCCCCAGGCTACCCCTTCCACCCTGGGTACTAGACCTGCCCACTGTTCTCCAGGGACTCAAAGCTAGAACTGGGCATGGGAAGGGAAGAGCCCGTCTGCACACGCCCTGCCTAGCTGTTGGTAACTCCCTTTCCAGGTGGTCCGAGCGAAGGAGCGCCTTGAGGAGGAGCTCAGAATCCAGGCCCAGGAGGACAGAGAGAAAGAGCAGAGGCCTCAAACGTGACTACTGGGCTCCTCCCACCCCACCCTATCGTCACATCTAATTTATAGCTTGGTAATAAATGTCTTTTCCGCATTTCTCAATTGTACACTTTGATTCCAGAAGGCAGGCTGTGCTTCCTGCCAGCCATGGGCTAAGCATGGGGGGCAGGGCAGGAGCTGGGGTGGGTGCGGTTAGTGAGAGATCAGCCAGCCCACCCAGCCCTGCCCGCCCATGGAGAGCCAGCTGAATTGTCAGGTACTGGACACAGCCACTCCTGCTGTCACAGTGTGAGACAGACCCCTCCTATAGCATCACAGTCTTCAGTCTGCCCCTGCCCTGCCCTGCCCACCAGTGGATGGAGCCCCAGGCCCCTGAGCTATGTCATAGGCCTCCTCTCTGGAGCTGAGTTTGACCAGCATCTCAGTAATTTGGGTGAAATACTCCATGTGCGGCCAGAGAAGAGAAGCTTCTCATTGCACCAAAGTTGGGGAGCTGGGTTTCCCCAGGAGCTAAGCCACTCACTGAAGTCACAGCAGGAACTGGCAGGACAAGGACAAAGCCTCCAGGCTTTACCCAGGATTTTGCCTCTCAGCTCCTAGCAATCATGTTCTCCCAGCACCCACCTCCTCCCACCCTTCCCTTCCAGCTCCCAGCAGGAGATCAAGAGGTGTGGCACCCACATGGTCAAGAGGAAACCCCAGAATAGAGCCCCTGGGTGCTACCATCTGGGGTGGGTGACTCCAGAACCAGGCACAGGGTGGTCAGACGTAATCCTCCGTCAAGTGCCCTGGACCCAGCTTCTGGCACATCCAAGACAGAAACCATCTTTGCAACTCACTTTTATTGTTTCTTTATAAACTTCCTCTCACATGGAGGAATATATTGTTATAGTCATTAGCTTATCTCTTTTTTTTTTTTAAACTCTATGCTAACAGCAATGGAGCCAAGAGGAGGAAAAACATAAGCTACAATAGAAAGGCACTTAGAACCTGTTAAAATACTGATATCCTGGAATGTGCAACAACAAACCGACAACAACAACACGTACACCAGCCCTCTCGAGCCTGGTCTATCACTGAGTCACATGCTGAGCTAATGTCACCTTCCAGTGCCCTGTTCCTCTGCTCCCTGGGCTCTGAGTCTCAAACCCCTCACCCCCCCAACCAGGGACTTAAAGGCCTAGGGCCCTTAACGGAGGTGGAGGTGCTGGGGTAGGGCCCAAATAAAGGAGACCAGCTCCTTCCTGCTTTGCTCACAGCCCCTTCGAGGGGCAGAACCAGCACTGCCAGGGTCCCTGTTAGGGTGGGCCGGGTCAGGGTGACCCCTCTGGGACAGAAGGGCAGTCCAGGAAAGCGTGGGGGTCAGCAGAGCTGCTCAAGAACAGCAGGGGAACCCTGGAACCACAGGGCTGCTAAGAACCCTACTGCTGTCCTGCAGCTGCCTTGTTCTATAGCCAGGGAAAGGGACGGCTTGCTCAGAGGCCAAAGACAGGGCAGGCCTAGGAGCCAGAGCTCCTGATGGCCAGGCTAACACCTCATAGACTGCACCAGACCAGCTGAGGGCACAGCAAGGGCCCAGGGTGGGGGAAGCAAATGCCGTGTCCTCAGGGCCTGGTGGGAGAGCCCCCTCCCCTGGGGATTGGGCAGTGGGCACATGGAGTGTCAGCATCCTTGACTTATCCTGACCCATGGGAGTAAAAGGAAAATACCTGTAGGATGGGCTCAGCTAGGAAAAGCCAAAGGAAATAGTATCACAAATCCAGGCTCCTCTCTCCAGCTTCCCCCTCCTGTGGCTGTCCTTAGCTGCTTCACCATTCCCCAAGCCTAGGGCCTCAGTCCATGGCCTCTGGAAAGCTCCCATGCCCAGCACTGGCCTGGAGCCCTCCCTCACCCATGTGCTAGGTGTGATTTGGCACCCCCAGAATGAGAGCTACGTCCTAGCCTGGGGTCATCCCCAGCCTGCCTCCTGCCAGTGTGCAGGCTTCTGCGGCCCCTTGTGCAAAGGGACACTGCCCCAGACCAGGCCAGGCCTACCCCACCTGTTCCCTGAACCGGGTAGGCTCAAGGTCCTGGCATCTCCCTTCCTTATATTCCAGGGCTCCCCAAAAGGTACAAGGAGGAGGCCCAGTGGTAAAGGGACAGCTGAGTAGGTCAGCCGTCCCCTCACTTTGGAGAACATCGTCCAACCCAGAGAAGGGGCTAACCCTTGGCAATTGCTGGCTGCTTTGGATGGGTAGGTAGTGAGGGGCAGCGGGCAGAGCGGGCCTCCCTCTCCAAGCGGGAGGCACCTTGTCATAAGGATAAGGTGGCTCTTCCTGTGGCTTTGCCAAGGCCTGCGTCTGTCTTGCTCTCCCTCTGGAGGGTGGGCCAGAGGGAAAGGGGTCCAAAGAGCTCCCAGAGCAGGGGCCTGGTGAGGATAGGCAGGAGGGGTGGGCCCTTAGTCATGGGGCTCCTTGTCACAGCTCAACACATGAAGGGGTGTGGAGGGAACCCCATGCCAGTAGGGAGAGCAGATGCCACCCCACCTGCCCCCACTGCTGGGACGTGGCTGGCAGGTGGACGAAGCAGGGAGGGAAGGTGACCTGCCCAGGTTGGCCACTGGGTGAGGGAGGCACCAGGGTGGAGGACAGGATGGGACTGAGGGCCAGAGTGAGTGGTGCCTGAGCACCCAGGAGCTCAGCTCTCCCTGGCCGGCAGGCAGTTCCTCCCTTGGGAGCCTGGGATACTAGCAATGACTTAGCACCAACCTTGCTGCCCAGCTTTTCTGGGGCTGGGGCTGCCAGTGGGACACAGCCAACCAGGCCCTGGAGGCAGGAGAACATTATTGCTATTTCGCAGAAGAGTTTCTGTTCGTCGGGGCAGGGCCAGGAGCTGCTGGTGGCTGTGGGCTGTGAACCAGGATAGGTTCAGTTCACCACGGCCGGTTTGAGCAGCACAGAGCCTGGCGGGATGACCACCCAGCCAGGGGCCAGTGCCTCTGGGCTGCTGGCTGCAGAGTTGACACCTGTGGACAGGTCCAGCACAGTGCCTGGCAGCAGGGGAAGTCCATCTGGGCTGGGCCGGGAGCGGCCACTCTCAGTCCTTTCCAGAGGGGTCTTGTGGCCCTCCATGCTCAGGGCCCTAGCTGGCACCGCCCCACGCCCCTTCTCCCCCTCAGCCTTGCCACCTGCAGAGCCAGCCAGGAGGGAGACCACAGGTAGGCCCAGTCCTCCAGCCCCAAAGGGCGAGGGCAGCAGTGGGTTCTTGGCCAGATTGAGGGGCAGGATGGGGCCCGGCAACCCAGGGCCCATGCCTGACCCACCCCCACTACCCCCACCATTGCCACAGGCCAGGGCACTGAGGTCAAGAGGGCCAGGGGCCAGGGGCAGGGGCAGGCCAGGCAGGCCGGGGCCTCCGAAGAGGGCAGCTGGGTTGGGGATGATGATCTGGGCCCCGCTGACATAGGGGCTGCCGTCTGGGGCAGGCAGCGGTGGTTTGGGGGGTGGGCGCAGTTGTAGAAGCTCTTGCTGCTCATGGGACACAAAGTGGCCGTGGGCCTTGATGTGCTTGCGCAGCGAGCTGGGGTCCGTGTAGCGCTTGTGGCAGCCAGGCATCTTGCAGTAGTAGGGCTTGTCCACGTAGTGGGTGCGTGTGTGCTTGAAGCGGTCGCTTGAGTTGGAGTAGCGCTTGTTACAGCCCTCATATGGGCAGACGTAGGGCTTCTCACCTGTGCGTGGAGGCGGGACTGGTGTGAGGGATCTCCCAGCTCAGTGTCCTGCCCCCACTCACCACCCACTTAGTAGCCCCCAGGCCTCTCACTCCAGACTAAAATCTTGAACACAGACTGTCCGGTTTGGGGGACAGCATCCCCAATACCTGACACAAAATCTGGACCCAGGTTGGGGCACAGCTGCTGAGAAGCTGGCCTGGTAACCCCCAGAACCACCATGGCCTGACTATGTGCCCTCGGCCTTACTGCTATGCTTCAAATTGTGGATTATAGTGACCACTTCAACAGGTGAACCGATGAACCTGATTATCAACTTCCATAAAGCCCCTACTAGGGGCAAGCCCATAATGAACACTGTGTGAATGCCGATTGCCCTTTATGTGGCCCTTATTTGGCAAAATGGCTACAGATTTACTAAACATCTGCTCCTGTACCTACCAGGCCAGAGCCACGTGAGACCATGGGCCTTTGAAGCATGGCCAGTCCAAATTGAGATGCACTATGAGTGTACAATACATACCAGACTCCCCAGATTTCGCATGAAATGGAGAATTTCAGTGTCTCATTGATATCTTTTTAATATTGAAATAACACTTCGGATATACTGGGTTCAAGAAAATGTGTGATTATAATTCATTTCATCTATTTCTTTGTACATCCATGGGCCCAGCACATTTCTGCTATGCTACTCTGCTTTCTTTTCTTTGTTTTTTTTTTTTTTTGTACTTTAATGCAACAATTAGGAAATTTAAAATCAGGCGTGTGGCTCTGTTGGCCAGTGCTGGCCCTACTGTGTGCTGAGGTATAGTGAGCAACGAAGCAGACACACCGGCTGCAGTCACAGGTGGCATTAGTCAGACGATCTTACAAACAATGCTGAGTATGACACAGGAAGGCCTGTCTGTGCTCCTATATATTGAAGGTCTGACCCACAGGAGAGGCTTCCCCCAGCAAGTGGTACTCTAAAAGGGACTGGTGAACAATGGAACATGTTCTTCGTCTTTTGGAGGCCCATGGATGGCCGGGCACTCTGCCATGGCCAGCCTGCCTGGCCACCACCCTCCAGCCCACCTCTCACCTGTGTGTGACCGGTTGTGGATCTTTAGATTCTCCAGGCGAGAGAAGCTCTTACTGCAGGTTGGGCAGCGGTGTGGCTTCTCATTGGTGTGTGTACGGATGTGGATGAGCATCTTGTACCTGCTCCAGGGAGGGCACGGAGCACAGCTCAGCTCGCTGGACACCTGTGCCCCCTCCCTTCCAACCACTCTTGCCCTCTCTCACCTGGCATTGAAGCCTCGGCCGTGACGGGCACAGCCCTCCCAGTGGCAGCAGTACCCTGCATCCTTCTCAGGCTTGACGTGGTAGTCATTGACGTGATCCACCAAGTCTTGCAAGAGCTCGAAGAGCTGGTTACACTGCAGGGCCAGGGAGAGTTCTGAGCCCATGTGGGGCTGCCCACCGGGGAACCTGCCCCACTCTTCCTGGCCCCCACTCACCTTAGCCCAGCGACACACCAGCTGCTTCGGCAGGGGTAGCTCTGGTGAGAGGCACTTGTCCTTGGGGGGGGTGAGGAAGGAGGAAGCAGGAAGGTGCAGGGCCCCCCCAGAGCCCAGAGGCAGGAAGAACTGGAAGGAGCTGGGGACGCCATCCAGATAGCGCAGCGGCTGGAAATCCTGGCAGGAGAAGGCAAGGGACAGAGCTCATCAGTGCCCCGTGGGGCAGGCAAGCCCGGACACCCTCTGTCTCCTGTAGCAGGTTGTGTCCTCCACAGGAATATGTCCCAGTCCTAGCTCCCTGTACCTGTGCTTGTGATGTTATTCAGGAGTAGGATCTTTGCAGATGTGATCAGGTTAAGAGGAAGGCAGATTAGATTAGGGTGGGCCCTAAATCCAGTGACCAGTCTTCATAAGAAGAAGAGGGAGATTTGGACACAAACAACAGAGGGAAGAAGGCCATGTGATGACAGAGGCAGAGACTAGAGTGACATGGCTACAAGGCAAGGATTGCTTAAAGCTACCAGAAGCTGGAAGAGGCAAAGAAGGATTCCTCTTTATTGAGCCTCCAGAAGGAATCAACCCTGTCGACACCTTGATTTTGGACTTCAGCTTCCAGAATGGTGAGAGAATAACACCGTTCTGTTGTTTTAAGCCACCCATTTTGTGGTCCTTTGTGACAGTGGCCCAGTAAACCAATATGCCTTCTCTCTCCAGAACCCATACTCACTCCTTACCGGGGCCGTGGGCACTGTGGGCAGGTCCCCGTTGCCCTGACGTTCAGGGGACAGCGAGCTGCTACCATTGGGGGAATCCAGCCCAGAGGGCGGCGACAAGCTGAGGTCTACCAGAGGGGCTGCTGTAAAGCGTCCCTCTACCTTCTCGGGAAACTTGAGGTTCAGAAAACAGCAGGAAGTAAAAGAAAGGCACGGTTTAGATGTGCTGGAGACAGAAGTCCTGGTGAACCAGGCACTCCCACCTCTGAATCCCCCACTAAGACCCCGGAAGCAGACCCCAGCCATGCCAGCTCCCCTGGAGCCCCGGGCATCTGAGCATCAATCTATACAACTGACAAATGTGACCTCTGCCATCATGAGAGCTCAGCCATTCGTTGACACGAGAAGTGGGAAGTACTCATTTTACAGATGGAATGTTCTAGTACACAAAGTGAGTAACTAACTAGGAACTTGAAGCCAGGGCTCTTAGCTTCCCAACACATTGGCAGGTAGGGGCCTTTCTAACTTTCCTTGGGCCCCTTCTGCCTCAGAGCTCCTTTCTGTAAAATGAGAGGTTTGGGCTGGACTGCTTCCAGAGCCTTCCAGCTCAGACATGTCAGATCTGGTTTCCAGAGCACAGGCCCTGAGCCCTAAGCATCCTGAGAAGCACTTGCTGGCCTTGGTCCCCAATCTTTACTGACCTGGCTGGCTGCCCACACTGCCTCAAAGCCCAGGAGTTGGGTCCCGAGGCCTTTCATTACTACATGTGAATCCCCACTTCCCTTTGCCAGCCGGCCATTCCGAATCCTCCCAGAGGCCTTCATTTGAATCCTGCCTCTGCTGCTTCAGCTTTATAAACTGGGAAGATCAGTTTCCTCCTCTCAGGGACAATGTCACCTCCAAAGATAAACTGCTGGGAGGATGAATGGCCAAAATATAGGGAACACTCTAAGCCTGAAGATGTGAGGGGCTGCGGTTATGTCATGGTGGACATACCTTGGACATTCTCCACCAGGGCCCAGAGACCACTGCCCTGCCTGGGTGCAGTACCTGAGGGTGGGGAGCCTGGGGAGCCCGGGGTGGGGCTGTCATCCACCAGGCCAAGCTCCCTGTGCAGAGCTCGGTGCCGGACCACACTCAGTGTCCTCTCCCGCTTTTCTCTTGCCGCCCGGAGCTTGGTGATGCTCAGCTTCAGGTCAAGCGGCTCGTCCAAGGAATGCATGGTGATGTGGGGCTGGGGTTGGAGGTGGCAGCAGATAGCAGGGAGCTCCCAAGCTGGTATTCAGGCAGGAACCTGGGGGAAGACAAGAGCTGTGCTGTAACACGGACTCCAGGCTCCTTTTGAGGTTGCACTCATTAAAGCCCACAGGAGAGGGAGGAGGGGGTATGCAGCAGTGGGAAGGCTGAGAGTCTCCTCAGGTAGGGAGACCCTCTGTGTGGCCTGGCTAGCAGGTATGAAGGGAGCCAATCACCTACGCAGAACTTCCACATCCACTTCCCACAAGTCTTGACTGGAAGGGAAAGCACAAAGAGTCCAAAATGAAACAGTTTTAGAGACAATGCTTCAGGTCACAGAGCTAGGAAATGGTAGAACTAACATATTGAAGGCCAGATCTTCCCCCATGGAAATAGCCAGCCAAGCTCCAAAGGTCACTTCTGACAGAGTGGCAAGTCATGCCTGGGACACATGCCTAGTTCGAGCCAGAAGACCCAAAATAAAGGCCAGAGGAGCAATAAGTGTCCGCCAAGGTGGCCATGAGTAGTCCTCAGCTATTGACCACCAAGCATCTGCTGTGCTGGGCTCCATGGGCAGCTGTGGTCACCTCTGAAGGAACAAGGCTGAGAGTTTGCTGGGCGAAGCTGAACAAAGCCTGGTCTCAAAGGGATGGGGGTGCAGATAGGTGACTCTGCCTCCCAGATGAGGTCAGGAGAGCTGCCAACAGGCACAGGGAGCTAGAGGGCCCTGGGCCACCACCAGGGGGCACCTTGGGACTGTGGACCAGCCAGGCCAGCCAGGGGCAGGGTTGGAGGGAAGTGGACCAGCACTGTCTGGTGGTTCGTAAAATAATTACATATATCGATTTTTGTTTTTTAACTGGTGATGAATTCTTTTATTATGAGCTCTCATTCTGGAATTTTCACCATTTTCTTAGAATGTCTCAATGGTGTAATTTTCTTCACATATAAATGACCCAAGAGCAAGGTCAACTTTTCATTCCAAATTCAAACTTTTCTTACAGCAGCAATCTTTTCACATGTGGCCACGGTGTTTCCTTGTGTTTGTTAATTGAGATGAATACACTCTGAAAACCTATCAGCTAAACAAGCCAACACTGACATACTCCTTGCCATTCACTGAATACAGGTTTTCACAATTTAATACAGACCATCCCTGTACTCACCATGTGGTAAAAGACTTTGTATATTTTGCCAGTGTGGCCCAGGTGCATGCAGAGCTGCCCAGAGTTCTCACCATGGAGCAGGACAGGGGAGAACAGCCTCCAGGTCCCCACTCATATTTTTTCTAAGCCAAGCCCCTCAACAACTTTAAACCCTGTTCTAAGCCCTGGCTCATCTGTCTTCCAGGACAAGCTCCCCTTCTGCCAAGATCCTCCAAGCACACAGAGAATAAGGCAGTCCCTTTCCCTCACTTAAGACCCTCTGCTTCTGGGGACACATCCCAAGAACCTAGCACATGGCTAATATCAGAGTCTCTGAGCCCAGGGAGAAGGATGGTATTTTCAGAGCACCAGTGGCTGCACTTGGTCATGAGACCCAGGTCTGTGACTTGACTTGTCCCTGTTAAACTCATCAGGTGATCAGGTGAGAGTCCTTAGATCTATATGGATTTGCCCCCCGCCCCACACACACACCCCTCCCTCCCTCCCTCCCCTGCCAGACATGCATGAACCAGGAGCTCCCAGCAGTGCAAGCAGGCTGGGATTAGACTGCCACCCTGTCCTTCAGGAGCTCCAGACCCAGGCAGGCAGGTGAGTAGATGACAGTGATGGATGTACCTGGGCCCCCTTCACTCTTCCCCTCACTAGGGGAGGAGCTGCCCTCTGTCTGACCCACCCCCCAGTTATGTCTATCTGTCTGTCTGCTTGTCCCTCCACCTGTTTATTTTTAGACACAGGCCCAGTCAAACCTCCCTGAAGCTCCTCTGTGCTGGGAGCCTGGAAGGAGAGGAAGGAAGTAAATATTTATGCTGATTAAGAATTCAGGAGCCAGGAAGGGCTGGTGGCCTGGCCTGGTCCTTGGCCGGCCTAGGGACACAGACCTCCCCACAGCCTCCAGTCTCCACTCCCAACCCGACCTTCCAGAGAAGGGACCATGAAGGCAGAATAGTTTGGAAATAGAAATTCAAATTGACACTGATTCTCATGGCGACAGTGTAACATCCTTTGGCACCTGCTCCACTGTCCTCCCCGCAAGCCAGAGGCGGAGCAGGGAGGAGCCCTGGGCCCTCTTGTTCTGAAGACCTGCAGGAGATACTGCCTCCACCCAGAACCAGGGAGGGCCCCAAGAGGAGCCTGTCTCCCAGGATGGGACTGGGCACCAGGCTCATGGAAGGAGGGGGGACTCCAGCACCCCACCCTAATCAGCATGCCCAGTCCAGAGATCCCACTCTACCCACCACTTCCCGACCCTGGGTTCTGCCCAGGGGTTCATTCTGATGGAAGCCATGGCCCAGCCCAGAAGGCCAACCTCCTCAATTCCTGGGAAAGAAGGAAGGAGCCGCCCCCAAAGCCCACAGATTCAAGCACCCCAACCCCAGGCTGGCCACACCTTAAATTCCCTCCCAATGGCGACCCCACCCCAAGGAAAGATGCCTGTGACCCCACTCCTTGACCAGCATTGAAGTGTCCTCTTACACCCTTCAGCCACCAGCCAGTGGCCAGTTCTGGGTTGCTGCTCTGCTCTTTGTTCCTGGGCTGGATGAAGGAGGGCCAGTGAGAGCCAGGGTCACGTTCTCCGGAGGCCCAAGGGTCAACGGGGCCTGGAACCCTGGAACTGATGCTGTGATAACCAGCAGAGGCCAGCCGGCCATCACCGGATTTAACGCTCATGAAAGCCACAGAGTTGGGGGAGACAGAGACGCTCTGAAGGGCAGCTGTCTGGCTCTGAGGGTGCAGGCAAGTTTCTTAACCAGTGGTGGGGCCCGCAGTGGGCGGAAGCCATGTGTCTTCTACACCCCAGTGCGGGCACCCAGCAGGCACTCCCTGGGTGCAATGCAGAGTCCCTTCTCCCGGGAGCCTAGATGCCGAACCCCCACCTCAGTTTCCCGCTGGCTCCGAGGTGATGCGACTCCGCCCTGCTGGCGCGGGGTTGTGGGATCCCCAAGCACTTGGGAAGGGCGGGGTGCCCGGCTGAGAGGCGGCGCCAAGGTGGTCGTGCTACCGCGCGCCCGCTCCGCGGCTCCAGCTACGAAAGGAACTAATTAGAGCAGAGGGCGCGCGGGAACGGCGAAGGGACCACCAGGGCGGCAGGGACGGGGCGGGGGTCACCCCG